CTCTCTCTCTCTCTCTCTCTCTCTCTCTCTCTCTCTCTCTCTCTCTCTCTCTCTCTCTCTCTCTCTCTCTCTCTCTCTCTCTCTCTCTCTCTCTCTCTCTCTCTCTCTCTCGTATGTACAAATCTATAAGTATCTCTATTTTGAAACCTCTTTTTCTCGGCCAAGACTGTTAAAATGCTAGAATTTGAATGGTGTATAGCCATTATTTACAGATAATGGAAGTTATGAGCAAGACAAAAAACCTTATTTAATCAGCCGTTGCAGGAGAGTAAAGAGAGCAAAACGGCCGAAGAATGAATGAATGAATTGATGCAAACAGTATGCCTTTATTTGTCCATAACAGAAATCCAAATACCAGGTAAAGACAAATCGAGGGAATATTATCTGACCTGTCAAGCGATAGACTCGAATGTTGTGATGCTTACCTCCGACCGAATGAAAGGGAAAGGGTAAGGGTTGGGAGAAAAGCTATAATATCGTTTTCACCAATCGATCGATTCCCTAATGGATTCAAATTATCCAGCCAGTAATGGACACGCTCTTTCTTTCGAGCTCGGCAAAACGCGTAATGAAGATACACGTTCTATTTTAGGCCAGACAATTAACAATGTAGCTTTATGTAATGAATACACACGAACACACACACTCACACACACACACACACACACACACACACATATATATATATATATATATATATATATATATATATATATATATATATATATATATATATATATATATATATATATATATATATATATATATATATATATATATATGATTTAGAAGATAAATAAAAATAACTTAAACAAGTAACTAATAATAATAATAATAATAATAATAATAATAATAATAATAATAATAATAATAATAATAATAATAATAATAATAATAATAATAATAATGAGAAGAAGAAGAAGAAGAAGAAGAAGAAGAAGAAGAAGAAGAAGAAGAAGAAGAAGAAGAAGAAGAAGAAATATAACAAAACAAAGAAGAGAAGGGATGAGAATGAAAAAAAAAGGACTTGGAGCAGCAGGATCGATTTCATGGGACGTGGTCGTGGTTGATGATGACTATGATGAAAATATTGTTGATGATGATGATAATAATAATGGTAATAAGAAGTTGATGATGATGATGATGATGATGATGATGATGATGATGATGATGATGATGATGAAGTTGAATTTGCGACTTTGTTTCAGAAGCAACATTTTCTTTTATAGTAATTAGCTACAATTCATTTTCGATGTTAATGTATGCACTACAGTGTTCGATGTTAATGTATGCTCAGCTATGTTCGATGTAAATGTATATACTAGTTTTCGATGTTAGTACAAGCACTACAATGTTGTTATTCTTCTTCAAATGGTTATATTATTTATTATTATTGCGATTTATTGTTGTTGTTGTTGAACATAATCGTAATAGATGTTTTAGAGATCTCAGAAAATGTTTCAATTTCTTTGCTGCATTGAAATATTAGGGAAAAAAAGAATCCATCCAGTAATACATACGTGCTAAGTTTGTACATTGTACAGTATGAAGAAATGTGTTCAGCAATGTTTGGCTGGCTGGGTTATGAGGCAATTGCCATGTAATGGAACAGATGAGAAATTCCTTAATTTTGCAACAACAACACAACCCCCACCCCGAAAAATTATATAGACGTAAAATCAGCTATCTCGGACAACAAAAAATGCGTAATATTTTCTTGTTCTAAAAAGAGGATTTTCTCGTTTTATAAAAAAGGAATTCGTCAGGGAAAACTCTTCACCTCTATTGTTTTGTCAAGGTTAGACACTGTAATGGGATTAAACTGATTTTTTTTATATTACACATGTTTTAGATAGTCGTATTTACTCTCTACAGACCGAGGCAGTGATTTGTGTAGAAAAAATTTGTACAAGCTTTACAACAATGGTTGAATGTCTTTAATTAAAACTTTCAGGCAACTGTTAAGTTTAAAACAGTGTCGTAACTTATGACAATTATGTCAGAGCAACTTGACAATTTGAATTTAATTTTTATAGAAATACTTTTCAAAGAAGTTGAAGAATATTGGCTTATCAAAACCTAGTAGTTTCAGTAATTCTTAGAAACTTAATATAGAAAGTGCCAAAGGAAGAACAAACCTAATGTTTATGCGAATGAAGAAATGGCGCATATAGTGATTTTATGTCTAGGAAACGTACTCTACTTGTTTGGTGCTTGAGAAATTAGTTAGGATGTCCTCAAAAGCTAGTATAAAAAGTGTTATGATCACGTTCTGGCTTAGGCTACTTTTCTGCTAAACAACAAAGCGGTCTCATATCTTTCTATATGAATTACTGAGAAGACAGAAATAAAAAAAAAACCCTCATGGTGTAATAAAACTAACTGACCAAGTTCTAAACACTTGAAATCATTTTCTTAAGGCTTAATTGATAATTATTCGAAGCAACATGTGAAATTGAACATTAACTGCAAAATAATAAACTAACCCTTCAAATATAAATATGAGATACCTACCTACCTACCTACCTACCTACCTACCTACCTACCTACCTACCTACCTACCTACCTACCTACCTACCTACCTACCTACATACATACATACATACATACATACATACATACATACATACATACATACATACATACATACATATTCACACATTAGTTGATATTTTATTTGTATATTGTCAACACCCTGTACATGTTGCGTTTCCAAGTCTTAAAATGTCCATAGTTTCTTATTATGTCATTCTAGATTGCACTTGTTTCACCTACAGATCTATGCGCCACGACGTCGCCACAAATTTCCAACAACCAGTAAATTTCGAGGTCATAGGGTAAATATTGTAACGTAGGTGAGGTCATTTGTCACCTTTACTCCGTCCATGGTTTTATTCGTAACCTATACGGTAATATTACCTTGACTGTGAAGATTAGGTCATTTATCAATTTATGATCACCGCGGGCTCGTGATACAAACGGCGATTGGTCAATGTTGCATTATTGAACGCTGGCATACTGATTAATGTGGTAACGTATAATAAAACACATCTTTGGATGATTTCTTTTCAACTGCAGAAAAAGCACCTATAAAAGACCGTCCCGGTCTCTTTTATATAGTCAAATCATTTTCTGTATTCAACCTATAAAGTGATTTATGTGAGCGTGTGTGTGCGTTATTTGAATTATTAATATAGTTTTAATAATATTTCAATCATATCGCTACGATGTCTGCAGTATTGCAATTCATAGCAATGTCAAGTGATTAACTGATGATTGCGCTAAATGCTAGACAAAAATGGACATATGAAGAACAGCAAGTAGCTATTACCATTTGACCCTTCAAACTTAATTTGCGTAGGAAATAATAATAATAATAAATAATAATAATAATAATAATAATAATAATAATAATAATAATAATAATAATAATAAATCTGTTCATGTAGCAATACTGTTAGTAAGACTAAAACCAATTAGAAACAATCCATTTCCAATATAATGATTATTATTATTATTACTACTTCTACTACTACTACTACTACTACTACTACTACTACTACTACTACTACTACTACTACTTCAGCTACTGCAACTACTTCTGCTACCACTTTTAATACTATTACTACTGCTGCTACTACTACTACAATTACTACTACAGATTATTATTATTATTATTATTATTATTATTATTATTATTATTATTATTATTATTATTATTATTATTATTATTATTTAAACGATGCAAAAAACAGTTTAAGGAACACAAAAAATAGACAATTAAATCTCACACAATATCCGAGTGCGGCTAGCTACAAATGTGTCTTTTTTCTTAAATGTATAATAAATTTATTCAAAAACAGACTATGAAATAAAAGAAATCTTAATAACAAATTATCTGCTTGTGACTTGAAAGTAGATCAGTACATTTGGCTATATTCTATGTAACACCGAAATTTTAATACAAATGAAATTCGTGCTTTATCAGATGGCGGAAGTGAAGTGACATTAGATATTTTCGTATGACACCGATCGAGGCTTTTGCCCATCTCATGTTACAAAATGTAACAATGTTCGCATTTAGTTAGGTCTATTCTAGCTTTTTAAGTGTAATACAAGTAAAATATTATTTGTATGAAAAGCTATTTTCAAAATTTAAAAAAAAATTCTCTGCTAGAAGATTAAAGCCTGGAATTTCTATTTTGAGAAGAAAAAATAGCCCTTAGCTTTGCTACTTGTAGCAACAGTTTAATATATTTTCATCTCGACACAACCATAACTGTCATCTTGACACAATCATATCGGTCTTTCTGATAAAGCCATAGCTGTCATATTGCTACAACCATAGATGTCATATTGATACAACAATTGTTGCCATCTTCGTAACTGTCATTTTGATACAACCATTCTTTATATTGACCCAACTATAGATGTCATATTGATATAACTATTGATGCCATCTTCGTAACTATCATCTTGATACAACCATTCTTTATATTTGATACAACCATAGATGTCATATTGATACAGTCATAGCCATGATCTTGATACAGTCAAAGCTGTCATATTGAGATGACTATTTATGTTCTAAACAAAGTGTTTCTATAGTTCTTTTATTCGTATTACTTATAAAAGATATTATTTAAAGTTACTAAAATGTTGCATATTATACATCACGTACCATTTTCTTATCTAAAATAGTTTCTACTACTAGAACATATAATTTTAACTAACATTTCATTCTCTTATAGAATCAAGTGTGTGTTTGTGTGTATGTGTGTGTTGATGGTTTGGATTTGTAACGTAGCTTTAACAGTTTTCAGTCATATCGTACGATGTCTGCGGTGTGGCAGTTTATGGTGATATCTGGCATTGCCACATACAAGTAGCATCATGTCCAAACACGGAACATTATCGTAATGCCAGGCCGACCAGTCTTAAGACTAACCTCTTAACGCTGAGCGCCTGGCAAGGCAGCTGCTAATACCTTTGTACATTTTTGGTATAGCTCGGCTGGGGTTCGAACCTGCGACCTCCCACATACAAGGCGGACGCTCTAACCACTAGGCCACTAGACCAACCTGTCTTATAGAATCAAAATATTTTAAAAAGAATTAATCAATTGACCATATACAATGTCATTCTGTATTGACTATTTAATACCTTTCAGCAACATTACTTTGTATAAATCCCAGAAATACTTCGCCATATTAGAGAACCGATCCATGAAAACTTATAAATCAACTGCATACAATATTTTGCCGTTTTATAGAAAATGTATACAATTCATATTAATTACTCGATGCATACAAAGGTTTCATTACTTGTCATACTAAAGCTTAAAAAGCCTCTACCAATGAGGAATTTTAAATATTCCTAAATGTATATATTTACTAACATTTTCATCAATGTACAGATTTACTAATAATTTCTTTAATATACAGATTTACTAATTTTCTAAATGTACAGATTTGCTATAACCTTCCTTAATATACAAATTTACTAATAATTTCCCAATGAAACAGATTTATTAACACTACCCTTAATGTTCAGATTTACTAACACTTTCCTAATGTACAAATTTATCAATAATTTCATTAATGTACCGATTTACTAATAATTTCCTAATGTGCAGATTTACTAAAACTTTCCAAATGTACCGATTTACTTACCAGTATCTAATGTACAGATTTATCAATACTTATTTAATATGCGGATTTATTTATAATTTTCTAATATACAGATTTACTGACAACTGTTTTCCTTAATGTACACTTTCCTAACTAACGTGCTTAGTTTATATTTACTAATACTTTCCAAATGTACCGATTAATTTTTGCAATTCCCTAATGAACAGGTTTGCTTACACTTTCCAAATGTACTGATTTGCTCACAGTTTCCTAATGTACAGATTCACTAACACTTTCCTAACTAACGTGCTTAGTTTCTCGAGATGCATATTTACTAATACTTTTCAAATGTACCGATTTATTTTTGCAATTTCTTAATGTACATATTTACTAACACTTTTCTAATGAACAGATTTGCTTACACTTTCAAAATGTACTGAATTGCCCACAATTTCCTAATGTACAGATTAACTAACACTTTCATCATGTACATATTTGCTTACAATTTCCCATGTGTATAAATTTAATGATAAAAGTTTTCTTAATATACCGATTTATTAACAATTTCCTAACGTACATATTTACTAATAATTTCCTTAATGTACAGATTTTCTAATAATTTAATTAATGTGCAGATTTACTAATATTTTACTAATGAACAAATTTACTAACACTCTCCTGATGTACAAATTTGCTTATCATTACCTAATGTACAGATTTTCTCTAATACTTTTAAAATACGGCTTTGTTAATAATTTCCGAATGCACAGATTTACTGACAATTTCTTTGATGTACAGATTTACTGACAATTTCCTTAATGTACAGATACACTAACACTTTCCTAATGTACATATTTGTTTACAATTTCCTAATGTACAGATTTACTAGCAATTTCCTACCTAAATGTACAGATTTAATACAAACAGTTTTCTTAATGTGCTGACTTACTAAGAATTCCTTAATGTACGGATTTGCTAACAATTTCCTAACTTACAGATTTTCTAATAATTTCTTTAATACGAAGATTTACAAATAATTTCCAACTTTATAGATTTACTAAGATATTTCCTAATGTACAAATGTACTAACACTTTCCAATGTACATATTTACTTACAATTTCCTAATGTACAGATTTACTAACAAGTTTCCAAGTATACATATTTACAATACTCTCCTAATGTACCGATTTTCTAGCAATTTAATAATGTGCAGATTATCTAACATTTTGCTAATGTACAGATTTACAATTTCATAAATGTACAGATTTAGTAACACTTACCTTAATGCACAGATTTGCCAATAAATTCCTTATGTACATATTTACTAAGAGTTACCTAATGTACCGATTTACTTGCAATTTCTTAATGTACATATTTACTTACAATTTCCTAATGTACAGATTTACTAACACTTTCCTTAATGTACAGATTTGCTAATAATTTCCTAATTTACATATTTACAAATTTACTACCACGTTCCTTATTGTGTAGATTTAATATCATTTCGTAATACACATATTTACTAATAATTTCCTAATATACAGATTTACTAACAAATTCCTTAATTTGCAGATTACTAAAAGCTCTTCATGTACATTTTTACTAACACTTTCCTAATGTACAGATTTACTAACACTTTTTTAATGCACTGATATACCTAGTTTCGTAATGTACAGATTTAATAACAATTTCCTATTGTACAGATTAGCTAGCAATTTTTTAATGTTCAGATTTAGTAACACTTACTTAATATACAGATTTTCTTACTATTTCCTAATTAATGAACATATTTGCTAACACTTTCCCAGTAAATTTGTACATTAGAAAAATGTTCCTGTGTACGAGATGTATCCATTTTTCATTAATGAAAAATTTCTACATCGAGTGGCATATCGTTGATACTGTTTAATACTATACATATATTATTTTATATCACATACAAAATGCACATATTTTCCCTCTGAACGGAATTAATATATTTGCTCCTGACAACGGTGTATTGATCGAGTGAATGAACACCTTACATCCCCGCGATTTTGTCCGCTGCAAAATGTAGTTTTATGCCTTTTCTAGTTGTTCACAATCACATTTGAAGTTGAGAAGTTGAATAATTTCATTTTGAGTTTCTATATTTATTCAAATTGAATATGTCAAGAGCATTACATATATGATTAGCTTCATATGTACTGAACGCTTATAACGTTATGGGCATTCAGGTAGGATATTAGTTATGGAATAGAAAATAAGCAACAAGAGGTATTTAAAATATTTTAATATATTTACAGTTGATCTAAGTCATTATTCTCTCTCTCTCTCTCTCTCTCTCTCTCTCTCTCTCTCTCTCTCTCTCTCTCTCTCTCTCTCTCTCTCTCTCTCTCTCTCTCTCTCTCTCTCTCTCTCTTCATTTGGACGTCTTGATTTAAATTTACCATTATTCATAGGTCCAGAGACATCGTCGTATGACACAAGCAACGCTCGTATTTTCATGGATTTTCGCCCATATCTTTCTAAGATGGTCCAGAATTAATAATTATTGATTTTTAGAAAATTATAAGTTCAAGAAACAATAACAATAAATTATTAAAGACGTTACAATATGTGTGCCTCGTAACCGACAATTTTAACGTATAGTGTCGACGGGCTATTGCAAATATGTATCATTCATATTACGATCACTGAAGATACATTCCAAGGAGAGTGCAAACATACCATTACGACGAACCATATTATTGTAGGTTAATTAGTACAAATTCAGCTTTAAGAGTTTCAAGCCCAACTTTTTATTCCCTTTCTCCAGAGTTCTGCGTATTTTGTCCTTTATTCATCAGAGGGTACAGGGTAACAAAAAAAAAGGATTGTGATTAAACTGTGTACCATGTTGATTTCATTTAGAAAACGATTTATGAATGGAAATTCATCATTTATCTCTAAGTTTGCAGTTAATGTGATGTGATGTAACAATTTTTTAGTCATATCGCTACGATGTCTGCAGTGTGGCAGTTTATAGTGATGTCTAGCATTGGGGCATCGTGCCGCAGATTAGTTTATACTTTTTCACTTTTTCATTTAAATTTCGCCGTTATTAATTGGGCTACATTGTACTTTGTATGTGTTGGGAGCTGATTTTGGAGGGTTTTACTTTATATATCAGAGTTGTTAAAAGTCAGCCAGGTTTTTTGTCTTAAAGTCGTCACAGTAAAGTAAGACATTTAAGACTTTTGCTTCTTTTCTGTTGTAGCTGATTTGTATACTTGTCTTGTTCCCAACCACAGTTCATCGTTTTAATTGTAATTATGCAGTAGTTTCGTACATTTACAACTGTCATTTGGCTGTAGGTGGGATATTTATTTCGGGCCTTGGTTCAGTTACGTTTTTAATAGTTTTATTTTATTTTTTGCTTTAAATTGTAGCTGGGCTGTTGCTAGGTATCTGTCTATTAGTGTTGTTAAATTTGCTCTATTTATTTCTATATTATTTATGCCTGGTCATTTTGCAAATTCATAAAGGACAACAGGGTATAATTTCAGGAATAATGACATAATCATCTGCCCCCCCCCAAAAAAAAGAATTTGTTTTCGCAATTATTGTCTGTCCCATTCTTGAATAAACAAAATGGAACAAATTATGTGCGAAATTTTGATATATAGCAAAATGCTAAATCGCAAATATTATATCATATCCGTGGATATGGGTCATCTAAGCACAATAGCTATACCCAACACAACTTTAATAAACGTCCACAACTACTGATTTAGATATGTGATAATACTGTATATAAAACATAAACCAAAGGTCCTTGATTAGTGGTATGACATCTGAACCATGTCAATGTGTATAACACTTTAATAAAGGTCCTCGAGTTTGGTGCTACATGTGCATTCAATATTTAATAGTTTCCTCTTTGAAAATCTTTGTTAACGCAAGACACGGTAAAAGGCCCCTCCACACACACACACACACACACACACACACACACACACACACACACACACATTGAGAATAATTCCGGATTTTTTTATGTCTGCTCCGATATTTGCCACTTTAACTGCTTATCCGGTTGGCGAAACAGACATCCCTTTTGAGGGTCTCACCAGAGCAATACTAGCTGTCAACAATTTCCAAACAAAATATTGAAGTCTAGAAGAGATAACTCGCCAAATCTATTGAACTGTGTCCTTTTCAACAGTAACCAGCGGGATAACAAATTAAGGAAACATTATACGTAATATTATATACGTAAGGATAACAAATTAAGTGAGGAAACATTATAACATTTTTTCATGGTGTGACAAAACTTTTATAATGTCCCTTACAATGACCGCCACATTAAATATGGTAAATTATTTTATTGTTTTTAACATCACATTATTGATAGAAAGTTACGTCATTGTTCTTAATAAAACTCCACAACTATTATGACATTTGATGTCAGGTTCTGAGTTCAATA